GAAGCTCAAACGTATAGATGTGACAAATATATCGTTAGTAAATGTCAGATTCTACTTGCGCTTTTATGTGAATAAAAAAATATTCGTTTACAAATGTGGTATCTGTGATCTCATCGGAATGCATCAGTCTAGCTATCAGAAGTAAGCGCATATGCGGATCGCATGGAGCTTCGAGGTAGTATGCTTACGGAACTGAATTCTAGCGCTAGACAGTCTTGTTTGGGCAAAGATTTCAAATTAGAACAAGAAGAAACTTTGTTGATCAATAACAAAAAGGCGACTTTGATTATTTTAGAGGCATCTTTTTAAAAGTATTTATTTTCTTGGCCTGAGAGGTCAACAATTTGAATTAAAAACGTATTAGATATGATATCACTTAGAGACATCTATAGTCTCTAAGTATTAATTACATGACCTTTTAGTCAAAATTTAGATTTCTATCGTTTTGAAGTCGTTGCAGAGAGCAGTCGAATAGAATATCGTATCGTGTGAATAAACGGTCACGCATTCTTGCTTTCGCTATGTATTAGAAGTAAAAAATATAATATTCTACGCCATGATATACATTCAAAAATAGCTAGTCCGACTTCACGCTCCGAGAGCGTCTAGTTGATATTTTGAAGCGATCTTTTGCGTCCACCWTCATGGGTCGTCATTTGTTTTGTCTATCACCTTGAAGTGTGAACAACCAACGTCTAGCCAAGGTTTATACCACATCACAAGACCCGACAATTACCAACTAATAAAGTATAATTGACTGGGACTGTCCTACACTAGACGAGGTGACTGACAGCTGTCAATGACACACCCTGGACCTTTAATGCTATAAGCACTTCATCGGATATTTCGAGATTTTGTTGGGTTTCTGCCTTTAATCATATAATCGGCATTGCTTTGTAAGCTTAGTCAGTCACTACATGGGTTTTACACGGATATCATTGCTATGTTCCTTACAGATAACAGGAATTTAGCCAACGTCTTCAAGTTATTCAATAAGTTATGCAATAAGTTATTTCGCAAATATCATTTATACTACATTGACTGTGTCTAATAAAGAGCATGCGATCTCATATTTCAATTTTTGTGGATATTGAGCTTTTGAGCACATCAAATGTGCAACTACATGTAAAATAGTGCAAAATATTCAAGAGTACAAGTTATCATATTGCGGCAATTTTCTCTTAGAAACCCTCGGTGTACTTGATGAAAGTATGGATGGGTTAATTATATAAGATATTTAAAAAGTTTTAATTCAATCAGAAGTCACACTGAAAAAGTTCTAAATTCMGAGGAGACAAAGAATCACCTCACCCCACTAGGCTCTTACAGTAACTCTCTAACCTATTCATACATAAAAATCACAGTTAGTAAACATGGCAACCACCTGGCAAGCAAACATAGTCGAGATTGTGTAAATGCATGGCGCACCTATTGTACATACAGACAGCCCGCGGGACAGACAGACAACACTCACTGCCTCATCACTATGTGCCTTTGTGTTACTTGGGGTTCACTTGGTTAACGTGTTTTTAAAAGTGTTAGGATTGCCTTTTCATGAATCTTACAAACACACAAGTAGCGTACTAGACTTTATTTTTGTTTATCGCGTAGACTTTTCTTTATCGTTTCGGTTCTTTGGATGTTATACTTCACGTGTTAATGAAAAATATTGTATAGCAACCTTTGATTATGCTTTAGGGTTATACAAAACAGTACTTATATCATTTTGCGCAATACAAGACCCTTTCTTCTTAAAAATAAAATATTTTTGGTTATTGACGCTAAAGGTCTATAATGTTTAGGCTTTTCTAGCTCACAAACTGCACATCAAGGTCTTCTTAGTAAGATATAAAGTTTAAAAGCTCACTTTGTGTTGTGATGTTATCCTGTCGCACCTCATCTGTCAGAAAGCCTGATACTATTATATCAATTTGATCTCATTAAACGAAACGTGTTGCGCATCTGTCCAGGTAYCACACCACCTGCACTGCAAGCCTACCAGGAAATTCAATTATCTTCTTGATACGCCCTTTGTACAGCTATGCAAAGAATCTGGATGGTTTTCATACTTTACTTTCATCACAAACAACCTAATGGACTTGGTTATTACAATGACATAYGATAAATAACTATTGGCAAATTCTATCTATTGTCCTTGTTGATAGATGTATGTTTTATTGAGATGGAATTTCTTTCATTCTTGTACAAAATGAGTATTAGTAAAACAAAGATATTTACAAATGATTTTAATGGACTTATTATCTTTGACAATGCTTTTATTATAGATACACAAACTCTTAACACGATCGAAATACTAGTATTAATGCCTTCGCATAAAACATAACGAGAGTCTTTTAAATAGCAGAATCTTTAGTCTCGAGATTAAGAGGAAATCTTTTTATATTTATTGTGTGAAGTCAGCTCTTAGGCGCACGCCATAATGAATTGGCACCCTAGTGAGTGCATTAAACACGGATCTGGAACTCGAAAAAAACTATTTTGTTTTTTCTTTYATTCTTTTATTAGGACTTCAGTGTTGAACAGGGTATTAAAGTTTTTTGACAAAAAGGTTCGGTTCAGTCATGACTCCTTATAGATAGAGATGGTTGTTCACGCGATAGACAGCACTCCTCTCTCTCTTTCTGCAGTGTCATCGTGTTGTTATTTGTATCTGTAAAAAAAAAACAACTAATGTTGGTAATGAAGCCTAGAAATTATACACAGCAAGCTACCGTTAATCGGTTTAAAAATAGATAACAAACTACTGTAAAGCTCGTGGGGGTGTGCAAGTGTTTGAGATACCTACACGATTTACAAACGATATATTTATAAGACAYGATTAACGCCGAAAACATTTATAAATCGTAAATCATTAGGTTCACACGTCCACAAGTCATTAATCAAGCCTTTGATARGGTACCAACATACTCTACAATCTAGCACTTCATTTATCAATCCTGCTACAATCTACACATATGCCTACCGGGCGTGGCACTAATGATGTCACACATGACGTCAATATTCACCCACCGGAAGTACCGGATGTTTATTACTGGATGCGTAGGCTTGGGATAAAAATAGACGGATATTTGGTGCATAATACGCCGGATAAACACTTTATTCGCTTTTCCGGTGGAATTGTTTCGAGTGGTTGCTTTGCAAGTTGTTTTTAACATCTGCATAGTGTACAAATGTACATGTTTGATAAGAAGTATTTGAAAAATTTAAACATTGATCTTTGTGATATAAAACTGCAGATAGCTGTTTATTTTCCCCGTGTTTCAGTGCAAGCTAGGTCTTGATGATTTGATATTTTAATATTTGTCTGTTAATCATCAAAATGAGTCGAAAAAACAACAGTTTTATGATTGCAGTTGTCACGGTAATATGCTATTAAAATCTACTTGTGTCACTCTCTGGTTAGCAACGCAGTAAATATAATGTAACGCCAAAGGGTTCATCTTATATTGACCTACACTTTAATGGCGCTAGGTTTTGAAGAGGCTCCAGCCGGTCGTGGACCTCAATTGTGACCTCTGTATCATGGCCGTTCGGTTTTACAGAGGCCCCAAGTGGTCGTATTGTAATTTAAGTTAAGCAAACTCGCGTATATTTGAACTGTTTACGTGGGGCGTGTTCAGTTGCACTTTACGCTCATCCATCAAACACCCACCGAAAACAAACATACAACAACTCAAAAGAACACCGTTGCTTTGTTATCAATCTTTTACGACGGACTTCTGACATTTCAGTGAGCAAAATCAGCTAATTCTTTTGCCATTTTCATAGTTTAGACTGTTGCGTTGAATTGAGGAAGCTGTGGTTATGTAGATTAGCTGTGATGATACTACCCGTGTATCGTTTCCATCACATACCATAACTAATGACTCGTAATTGCTTTTCTCAAGTGGCTGCACATCCGTCTGATTTGAAAGGCTACCACAGTTTATTGACCGTTCTTGTGTTGTGAAAATATTGCTGTTTTTATTCGATACTGCAAACTGTTCTTAAATCTTTTGTTATAGTAGGCAAGGCGCCAAGTTGCGCGCACGAGGACAATGCTATAATTGGTAAGAAATTCGTCCAAAATATCGCATTAGGATAGAAGCAAAGTACATTTAAGGTTATACTCAATAAATTAATTCAGTGAAATGCAATGCGCAAGCTAAAATACGATATGTTACATGAAGCAACTTGCATTTGCTTACTAACTTTGTTAATACCAAGGGATAAATGCGGTATTTTTATTCATGTATAGAATCTGAGACTTGCGCCACTTTAGCTTACAAGACAAAGCTACATACTTATCTTGTGTTATTGACTATCTAGAGTTCTTTACTCACACAACACCCACCCACCCACTAATTCACCTAAATACCAAACTGACATCAAGAGGAATTGATGGCGGCATTTGTCATGCAAGGCTATTCATCGTCAAGAGTAAAAACAATTTTTACGGCTACATGGTGAGCACGATCTCTGCCATTAAAACTAACACATGTCCAGTCCTGTTCTTGCCATTAAAAAGACAATAGGGCATTAAACTGAAACGGAAAAAAAGGATTCTTGTTGCTCGATTCCGTGCATCCTTGACAAGGGTTATCGTCATCTAACCTGCCAAGAGCGAGGCAAAAGTCTCAACGACTATGGAGGTCCATACTCTWGGCAACGCTCTTCGTTCGTTTATAGGTCTAGCAAACAAATGCATGAGCGATTTTTCGAGCTTTGCTGCCAATGGATTGGCAATCCATAACCTATACATCTTTTACTGTCGCTCTATAGAATAGCTTTAAAATAGCGTTATACTGCCCGCCTATCATCCTTGAATCCATTTCCTGTAAATAGAAATGAAAGCACCGCACACAGCATTTAGAAACTACCTAACAAGAAAGTTCGTTGTTTAGTGRAATATTAAAGTGTTGATATATGAATAGTTTGAACGAATGCCACGTATGTATTGTATCGCGATTTCTTTTCGAATTAATCCAGTCTAAAAGCCACTCCAGYCTGACAGACTACCATTGACAAATCCATCTGAAAACCTGAAGCAAAAACATTGTTTACCAAGGATATCGCGACTCAAGAGCGTTCATGAAAGAAATTGTTCAACTACGGAATAGTTGAGCTTCCTGTCTTGAGCTTGAGGCCAACATGCACTTCGCCATTGAGGCACCTTAGCGTAAACACAAAGTTGAACACGGAAGTCAAAAACAGAGGCTCATTGGTAACTGAAACCCTAGTAGGGATTTCACTTTGGTAAAAGCTACAGTTTTTTTTTCTTTTTAATAGCATCAATTTATTAGAAGTTTATTTGTCAAGTATTTCAACAAAGGACTCGTCATGTTGTACATGAGACAAGCAGCTAGCCGTAGTTATGTAGTAAGTGCTTCATAAATTCTTACTTAAATYATTACACAGATTTTTGATATTTGTAAAAGCAAGGACTCTTGCTCATTATATAATAAACAAATCCTTTTCATAAATTAGATGTTATATTACATTGCGTCCTGTTTGGGAATGGCAGAATTGCAGAATTGTTTCAGGATTTAGAGCAATAGTGCTATAGAAAGTTGTTGCGGGATATCAATGAAGTCAAACATTTTGAATATCAGAATAGTGTGACTACTAGACTCAATGCCGATCAAACTGCGCGGCAATATTTCCTCTGTCTGAACAAAGTAATTGTACATTGTATGAGGTTAAYAATGTTATTTGCTTTTGAGTGTGTCTTATTAAGTTTTGAGGCAAGAAAAAGAAGATTTCTATGTTTATTTTTTTGGTATTAAACTATTTGGTAGACTTTTAAGTCTAATAGTTGAGGTAGTAGAGCATAGACTATGTATTAAAWAAYGTGGCGGTTTTATATTGTGTGAATTATTGTAAAAAGGATATTGAACCAAATAAAGTAGAATATATTGTGTATAAGGCTTAATTTTTCAATAAAATTATCTAAATCATACACTAATGTAAGATGTGTTAAACCAGGTGTGTTAGAATTATACGATCATACTTGACCGACGGAATAATGATATATTAGTAAAATACTCATCATATATCGACGATTAAAGTTTTTCTGATGATCACTACATTTAAAGATACGTTGTGCTGTTTGTGTTTTTTTTTTTTTGTAATAGTTCAGTGTTTCGAATTGGGGAAAAACTGAATTAAACTAAGCAAGAGATTGTGAAATTACCAATGTTGAAATAAAATTAGCACCTTTAGTGCGATACTAACTTGAGTCAAAGGCATTGTACGATTCTAGACTTTTTTTKATCTTAGCTCAATTAACTGAATAATAATAAAAGTTTAATCAACTATGTTTAACASTTTTGACCATAGTTAATAGAAAGGACCAGTCCTCTCTATTAACTATGTTTTGACTTTATAAATCCACTGCTGTTAGTGCATTACAATAAATGGCTTTTTTTGTGGCTTTTCCACACCGTACCGTCACYTATTATATCTAGATATCAAAAACAAAAATAATTTGCTTGTATCAACTAATAACACAGTGGTTTTTCACTTTTCTGACACTTTTTCCGACAATTAATAGATTACAATTTTACACAGTTGACTCAAAGTATTTAACATCAATATAAACCCTCGACAGTCACTTAAACATCGATTAAAGAATTTATGGACTCCTATTAACTCTATGATAATATAATAAGTATATTTCATTTACTTGCAATATTGTAGTACATTCTATAATACACTGGGTCTGATGAGCGAAGGATAACTTAATACAATACTATATATGCTTGTGTTTTGAGCCCTTTCTTCTCTATTTTTTATGTTCTATCTAGTATTTCTTTCTTATTTCTGGCTTTCATTCATTGTTCAGTATCTTTATCCCTGAATTTAAGAAAGGAAGTTAATGACTGAGATATGTCAGCAGTACAACTTAGATCTGATATCTTTCTTTTGAAAAACACTTCGGAAGCACTCTTTCATGCCTAGAATATTCACCGAACTACATWTTACAAGTTTATAGTACCAATTACGAGTCCATCATACTATTAGACATAATTATTTGTCAATTTGATARCATGATTGCCGTAAAAACGTCTCAAGAGCTGAAAATTAGCTTTATTAAGCATGTTGTTTTTGCTCAAGAATTTTATCGACTTTGTGAAAGAGGTACTTCAAAAATCCCACAATTTGTGATAAAGTGAGGCAGTATAGAATTTTAATTGAACTAGTGGTGTCATTGATACATAATCGCAATCTTAAGGATGAGATTGTCTTGAAAAGGAATAGGGTTTTTAATCGAGCAAAGAAAATATCAAAAGTGGAAAGATTTTCGATGTTATCTTCATCAACTAGTTTTACTATTCGAGAATTTCTGAAACTACGAAAAATAACATGATTGTTGCAGGAACAATTCTTAATTGTTACACAATATAAAACTACTCTGGGATAGCAGACTGTGCTATGAAACACTTAGTAAACTTATGAAATACTATGAATAAAGAATATCGTTAAGGTTGTCACAGATCAGAGATTCTAAACCTGTGTCAACTTTTTTTTCTTCCCCTTAAAACTAACTTTCCTTTCAAAATGAGCTATTCCTGAAACTAGTATAGCCAAATTCTTTCAAGCTCATTTTCCAAATTGCCTGAATGTTTTCGAATGAGGCCATCTAATTTGTCTATAAAGTCGAGACTCTTTCAAGAGCTGATAAAATTATATTGATTGTGATAAAAGCGAGCCGAGTAACCACCGGTTCGACTTGTCTAGGAATCCTTTAAGAACAATTTGAGGTATTGTTTTGTGATAGTAAAGTATTCTTAAGAACTAATAAGMCTATGTTTAACACTATAGACAGTCAAAATGAAACGACACGATTTTTCTTCCCCTGATTGGGTATATAGTCTCCTTGGCAGWAGTTCAAGAGTGCCGCACCTTTACCACTTCAATTACACTAACTTTTATCATGAAAAGTTGTGAAAAAGCCGTGCAAATTGATAAATTAACACCGAGTGGACTCTTTTSAAAAGAAAGTCTCACTAATAAGTGTTAATAGAACCAAAAGTGATTTTTATTCGACAATTTTTGCCAAAAGTGAAGTTTCACAAGATAGYATTTTTTTTTAATGTGATGTAAACTTTTGAAGCCGTGAAATAAATGTTCACGCTATATGTTAAACGAAGTTCACTATTCTTTTGAGGAGCTGATGTAGACAGAAAGCTTTTGTAAACCACGAGTACTTGGTTAAAAGGGTTTGTATGACTGATAAAGCGTCCATTTACTCCTTTCAACAACTCCACAAAAGCGAGCGGTTGAAAAATCAAGTTTATCTTTGAGTAGGWGGGACKGCAGGATAATGAATCAACTACAAGYCTACTTTGTAAGAAATAGTTATCAGGTTGTGATTCATAACTTACCCCAGGACACCTGTCTAGATTGATCCGATTATACACCAAAAACACAACCCAATGCTGAAAAGAAAACTTGTTTGCTTAAGACTTAATTCCTTTTTAAAAGGAGATCACGAYCACCATTATCATCGAAGGGCTTAATCAGGAATTTCTTTGACGGATCCTTTTGTTTTTCCGTATGTAACAGCTGGTGAGCATTTGTTACATTGACATGCGGACTGCGYCTATCAGAACTGGGACAAATGTTTCAAATCGCGCGTGGATATACAATGAATTGAGCGAGAGACCGCTTGAGAGCCCTGTTGATCGATTAACGTAAGGTGTGCATGATAGTCAAGAAAAGACACAAGTTTAAGAGTTTTAAAGGAGCTTTTAGTGAGCTCACTTAAAATAAAGCGCTTCAATTATTGAGATCTTTGACGTAATGGTACATGAAATCATATCAAAAGATTTGAGTTTGATTTAAGTAAGCTGTTGATAGTGTAGTTTGAGATTTGCTCGAATATTAGAACTTACTTTTTGAGTGATTTTCAATGGTCATTCSTTTTCGCGTTTAACAGAGAACAGCTTTAAATGGCCAACACACTTCATCGAATCGTTTGGCTAATTATCGTTACATCGAATTATATCGAGACGTAAGCTGAACAAATCAAAATTACTGTAATGATAATTTAATTGTTTTTAGGTTATCAAGTATCCGTTCATTGTCTGTCCTGCGACCTGTTGTTTGATAGCAACAAAGAAAAAACTTTGTTCATTGTAAACGTTGATAAGATACGAATTAATCATACAAAAGTCTTGGTAAGTGCCATGGGTTGAATTAATCCTCAAGGTATTTCACAAGTTGTATCTAAAACAGGTCCATATATTAGTGAATACCWGGTTCTTTTATGGATATCTATTGATAGGCAGTCAGTTCACACCTAGATTACAAAGAAAAACACCAATATAGTCATTGTGTATTTCAATTAACCATGCCGTCACCGCTATTCTATTTAAAATGCCTTAACGACATCATTAATCGTAGTTTTCATGAGCTTGGATACCGTCATGGACGTTTCCTTCATGACTTTATGAAGCGTTTTACGCAAACAAAAGAAAGTAATGTCTTGACATAAGCACAATTAGTGCAGGACCTCGACTAAATCACATGYAAAAATCGCTCTAAATCGACTTTCACACTTGAGTAGAACCAAGGTAAAGTACACAAACCATTTGTAGCTTCCTTWGGCAATTGTGTTGTGGGCCCGCATTGTCTCGTATCATTCATACCATGACAGGTCAGGGTAGTAATGGGAACCCGCTACTTGCCTATAGAGTAATTAAGAAACCAATAAGAAACAGCCTACTTGGGTATTGGAGAGAAGAGGCCGTCAATCACATGCTGTCATTGATGACCTGAGCCAATTATATCTATGTCAAGACCCCTTGAAAAACTACCAAAAACTAACCAGAAATGATACAACGCTCGTGTACACATGGGCCTCTTACGATTTGTAAAGAGATGGCTCCATGTCGTCTCTCTAGTCAAAGTCTTAAAACCTCTTGAGAGTGATACGTTTCGTAAGGTGCGCAATTAAGTAAACTTGSCTSCCTAAAGTTTGTTTTCTTTTACAATGGCCCTCCAAGATGAAAAGAACTCATAAATAAACTTTCTATTTAAAGYTAAACGACACAACACTAAACATAAAGAAGAATTCTCTAGTTGAAGTAAATCACTCATCGTAGTTTTCTAAGATTTTTGAACATTTAATTCTGATGCTTGTACAGGACGTGGGTGTAATTAAACTTGCGTTAATTTACAATTTATTGGTAATTACAAGTGCAATTTTAAAGTATCGGCTTCAATTGCTCTGATTTGTACAGTTGCCTTAAGTCATTTTCGGATAAATCACGATTGATACAAAGTYCATATGGTGTAATGTTAAGTATCATAATGGGCCAACATAAGGCGCAGGTTATGAATGGGTGGCTCGARCCACATCGTAACACACGTTAAAGAACATGGTTTACATGTTCGATAACAAAACTGAATWACATTGTGCCTATTTTGGCGTGAAATATTAATATATATAGTCGCTATTTCTGAGTCATGTACTGTCTCTTAAATACTCGTCAGAAATGGACTGTTCGTTGAGATAGTTAGAAGGTCTTCCCCCTCWGTCAACGATCTTCATGACACTTCTTTTGAAGWTTCTCTCGTTGATTCTTCGTTCCCATCTAGTTTATCCGAGCTTTTCTCGCTTTGGGATTCTTGCTTAAATCTCCGCCATTTGGCTCGACGGTTCTGAAACCATGTCTTCACTTGTCGTTCAGTCAGACCTAGTACCTTTGATAGTTGTTTGCGTTCGGGAGGGGACAGATATTTTTGACTCTCGAATATTTTTTCTAGTTCGATGGTCTGCTCATTCGAAAATCGGACCTGTCCACCTTTTTTCTTTTGTGGTTTTGGGAGGAAGAGGTTCCAAGCGCCTGCAAAACAAATATCCAAGGAATTAAGGCAAAGATTTATAAATAGTGAACTAATATAAACAGTCATTTACGATGTGCGAGATGCGTAGAATGAAGCGATGTCATGCTATTTCCGTGCGGCTTGTAACATTTTCTCTGTAAAGATTTTTAATCCATTTCGGTAGGAAAGTTAAGTGAGGATTTTTACACTTACGTAGTTCTCGGCAAAGCTTCAAAGCGCATTTAGCGCAGTATGCTACTCCATGTAAATACGAGCTATTCTCCTTAGAAATGCGTTATCCTTTGTGCATTTATTGAATTGAATCGTCCCTATCCTGGGAACTTCTTTACAGTAAATGTATGAATACAAAGAGTTCGTCGACTGAGCCGAAAAGTTTGAACCWCAGTAGGCTGCTTATCGGCTTTCTACACCTCTTGGCTGTGAAGGCCCGAAATTTTTAACCACTGAAATACTTTTATCACTTGCTTCACAGAGAAACCAATAGATYGCGGTTTCGAGAAGAAGTTGTTCAAAGTGATTTAACATTCGATAGCGTTCAGTATTAAACGTGTTCTMGTATAGAAAGACGTCGTTAAGCGATCACTAAATCCTTAATACCTATGCTACCATATGGCTATACTTCACACAGATCAAGTAATCTTGTAACACACTAACTAATAATTATTACTGTTATCAATTACTTACTATGATCGCTATAAGCTTCATATACACTTGGGATGCTAGGAGCTTGAAACCCTGGTGGCTGGAAGCTGAAGGGACGGTTGTACGGCGAAAAYGGACTGTTTATGTTTAAGTTTGGATAGGTTCTTGATGCCGTAGGAAGATGGAACGCGGGTGAGATGCARTGTGGTTTTGGTGGTTCACATATCGTAGAAGCGCACAGAGAAGCGGATGGAGGTTTCTGTGTACTTGTACTGAGAATATCATCAATGTAGAACGATGAGGAATTGTATGGAGATGCGGCGAATACGCTTGGGACGCTACGATCCCAATTACAGTGTTGCATCGTTTCTTGAGACGTGGTTGTTGTTGTTATTACAATGAATGTTCAAGTAGTTGGCTACAAGTTGCTTGGTAGTGGGACTAGAGTGCAATCTCCACGTACTGTAGCTTAAGACTGTGGAGTCAAACTGAAACAACTTTGTTATGTTGAAATTAGCAACTAATGACCACAATTTAGATCCTTGTCTGTGATTGGCTATTCGGCAAATTAATAGATGAGYAGTGATAAGCATTAAAGTGAGAAAGACAAGGAACCCGGCCACATTGGCCATTGTCACCCAAGACGTCATCACCATTTCCGTGAAAGTACACTAAGGCGATAACACAAAATCACATCCAAACCAGTCAGCTTGTAATTTCTTAATGGGCTAGMTTCACTCGCATAGCCTSAGCCTTTCCCTAGCCATGATCGATTAAGGCCTTCTTGACGAACATTTATAGGCATTTCAAATGAATAATGGCCGAAATTAAAACGATTTAACATCCTAATCCCGATCGTTTGCTCGTTGAGAGTGCTGGAAGGAAAACTTGTGTCATATAATGAGTACAATTGTTGTAAGTCTTGGCGCCATTTCCCGTACGACCAAGTTGACATTACTGAATGTTATCAATTATCGGTAATTAATTAGCAGCCATTTTACAGCATTTCTTGCTCCTTATTTTCGTAATCATCCAACTCAAAATTACTTGGTTCCTGACTGAAGTGGATGGGATTTGCAGGTGTAGGTCATTATAAGCTGATCGGAGGAAAAGTACGTCCTAAAAAGCGCWCAAATCTAACGTTTATCTAGTGACCCTCTCGCTTACCTTTTCCCTGACCAACGAGCGATTCTTACCGATGTTGCAGACGATACACAGGCACTTGATTCTATCAACGTTGCGTGCCTAGCGCCATTAATACAAAATACCAGCATATTTCCAATATTTACTCAAGGTTTTTCCGCTACGAATTAGTTCATGTTGTGTATCTTTCTAAGGAAAGGAGCAATTAAAAAATATTTAACTGTCTAAATTAACTGCGTTCGCTTTTCAAAATTGAGATGAAATCATGCTCTTTCCGTTTTAAAATGAGGCTTCACTTTAAAAGGATATTTTTCCGTTTTATTGTGGAAAACTTGTGTCTTGATCGAATAAAATTGGTATATACATTTAGCATGGGGAAAAATCAGGGAACATGTGGTTTCCGGGATTACAAGATAAGTCCCTTTTTGTTCAATTACAATTATAGACGCCACCCACATTACAAAGAATACCCAACATAGCTCATAGAACAGAACCCAAAATATCTCGACTCCCTTTGGTATTTTGACGACTAGGAGAAATGATTTCCTGAGTTTTGATTGAATTATATTGCTCTTGATTGCGAAATTGGGCTGTTTTCTATGTCGAGATGAAGATGAGGTCTTATCAAAAACTTCATTGCTGGTGGTTTAGATTTCAGCTGATTTACGGCGCTTCACTCACTCGATGGTAATAAGAGGCGCTATTCGATAACTGATACAAYGCTCAATGACGGAAAGTGCTGATATTTTACAGTGGTTTTCTCCTCCCACCGTCTAAAATCATTATTAGATCGATGTTATAGAGGCTCGAAGAAAGCATTACATAACAACGCCCAAATACTGCTAGTAGTCATCGCAATGAAGACTTTTATACGAGAAAGTTGTGTTAGATAAAGAATCGTCGGTTAACAGCATTAACAGTAGAGTCACTTAATTTGTAGTCTACATACACCATGGTAATTTAAGTTAACAGTAAAAACTAAATATCTTATTTCGCTAGTAAGGTAAACAGGCAGCAAAGTGCTTCTCTGCTACAATTTCACYCCTTCTCCTAGCAACGGACTACGAAGCTATGACGTCACTTGACAGCGCGGGTGGCACTGGGCGCCGAATTGGCGCAAATGCGAGGATGACTGATCGATTTTTATTTTATCAAATGTTTGGAATTTTCAAACTGTTAGTGGAGGTAATTTTTTCATTGTGAAATCTCGTCGAATTTCCCAGGGATGTGAGTTGATTGGGGTTATGTGTCTGTGTTAGGGTGTTTKGTGATAGAGTATTTGTTATTGTTGAGGCTAGATGTGAATTCGTGCTTATACCTGTGATATTAGAGACAGATGAATAAAATATATCAGTTATATGGTCACTCACTGATAACAGATAATACATACTTCGCACCAGTAGATTAATTGTTGGTTTTATAGCCCTTCGTACTCTGGAGCTACTGCACGGAACCATRACGAACACTTAACGACGAGAAACAGAAACCCTGAAAAATGAAGGAYATCTATTGTATAAAAAGACTATAAAAATCATTGTGGCTATTGAACACGATATGGCATAGTTTATTACCAGATAAAGTGATTTAAATTTGATTGTAACCGGATGAAGAGAGAAATTTCACTAAAGGTTGCGAATATCGAGTTACTGAGTGATGATCGTACAACACACGACTCAAAGTAACACGTAGCGCCTAATTGCATGGCTAATTGCCTATATATTGTATATATACCCATCGCTACTGACAAATAACTGCACCACTTACGGCTAAGATGTCTTTATCAAGATCGAGCGATACTGGAATTATTCGAAGAATGTGCCCACCAATTACCGGCTATCGAAGCTTTGATCAAAAGTTATCGAATCTTTGATCAAAGAAGGTAGACGCATCATCTCCACAAGATGGGTTTCTAATGGTCATAGGTACACGCTGTTGCATGTGCGGTATGTTAGTGTTTGCCGTTGTTTACAAACCATTACACGATCCATACATGTTTTATTCTACCGACCRAAAGGGCGTGGTTCGTGGGTCATGAATCACAATACAAAACTATTCATAACAAGGGTGTATAAGAAAGCAGGCTTGCAGCCTTTGAGGTCATTCTTAACTGTACGATATCAGTGACTTTCAGTGGTTTAATTACTGGAAGGCTGAGATTAGCGGGCTGCATTGACTATAACAGTGAATCTAGATGATTATAGCATAGTAAATCGCTATGATTTCTCCACCTTCTACAACTATTGCCAATTAGAAACCAATACTGAACTAAGAACAGCTAATAGGCAGACTAGATGACAGCATGTCATGCTTAGTACCTAAATAACACTACAGAAATATCGTAACGTGAATCTCATATGTTGTTGGTTAATGGTGCCAAAAAACGGAGCTTTTGATGGCATCGTTACGTGGGYAGACAAGCAGTATTGACTTTGACCCTCTTGAAAAGGCTAACAATTATATCTACTTAAACAGATCATGCTGTTATTCCAGCTGAGGAAATTCTCTGGAAAACCCCCTAAATATACCTCTCTTTTACAGTAATTAGGTTAGGTTAACACTTGACATTGAAATACTTCACTAATGCAATGTGCGATTAGTTGGAACGTCGGCTAAAAATAAATATAAAATGGAAAAATGGTTGTTTGGATGTATCAACTTTTCTTTTGATGTCTTCAGGGTAGTTCAGAGTTTCTGTTCCTTCCTTCTCACATTTCCGTCATTTCCTTCTCTCCATCTATCCACTTTCTCACAGCAATTCTTTTCTATTTCCATGCAATCATGAGGTGGCATTGTAATATTTATAGCGGGGTAATAAAAAATGGCGACATGTTCGTTTCCATGCCATTCTGCCTTTCTCCTTTCTTTAGCCACAACACTCTTCATTTCTTGTTTCTTTCTTTCCATACCTTCATTGAATCTTTTTTGGTTTACTTTACATTTCTGCTTTGCATCGTGCATAAAAAACTTTCCCTTTTTATACACTATCCAGCAACTTGGTAGTGTATCAGGTGAGGAGACTTAATTTGAAAGTAGTTCAGTAACCARAGTTAATCATTTGGAAAGAGTCGCGTGGYTMAAACATTCAGTTTCATCAAAGACCTTGACTGAAGCTCAAATCCTCAAAACTTGAGAGCAGTTCGTTGTCCGAATGAAGACCTTAGGATGATTTCTCACAATATTGTATCATTCAATATGACTGACACCTCTTACTTGAGTGTTATGCAGTTGTATCTACTGTTCACGACATCCAACACCTTTTATAGTACCTAATGTTCCTGTATTGAACAAGTGTAGGAAAGAAATAGTCCGGACAGGTTAGCTCATTGTCAAGAACCACACCCAGAGAAGCTAGCCTTTCTGTTCGTACCAATCCTCCCCATCCGATAATGGAAATGACACCACTCTACAACTTTATCATTCGGCATGGGTTCTAAGGATCTATACTAAATACACTTCCATGATTCGAAATTGAATAACGCAGGAATGCCTTTTAGCAATATAATCACAGGTCGTCTCTCATCGCAGCAAGTGAAAACTCTCAAAGCAGTTTGAATGTTATCATCATAATATACCGTGTAGAAAGACGATGGTTTATAATGACCTATTTTCATTCACTCTACTATCAACGGTTTTTAATTTCTTGAACATTTGTAGCTACAATGACGTTTGTCTTGTTCATGACGTCACAGCGGCCATATTGGGCTAGAACAAATATGGCTGCCACATCTTTTGTTTGTATTTGTAGGATTTCTAGTCAACAGCAAATCAAAAATAGGAGCAAGTTTGTTTTTTCAGTGTGCATTTTCAAGTTTTATTATTTTTTTTTAGAGATTTTATGTGATGTCTTTTGATCCCTTTTTAGCGAAATGAACGCGAAGCATGAAAGATTGAACCATGTGCAGTAACAATAATGAAATGTAGGATCTATTAAATCTATTCCAGGCATGAAGTTTTCTGTTTCAGGCCAGGAAAGAACTCCTGATAAATCGTTGGGCTTCCTGTGTATGAGCCTTTAGTACTTGTGACTAGCGGTAGTAATAAAGTTCTTTAATTTCGACATGGCTGTATGTATATTGTTTTGTGTCGTGGCATATTTTCTTTTTACAGTCCTCTTTATCGTTGTTCCAGGTGTATTTGGATTTTCTTTAGGACTAAGGAACTTATATGTGAAGATTTTATTGAAAGTGTTCGAGGTAAGAGTAGCTTTTCAATTTTTGCAAGCTTGGGGTCAAATTTCATCATTTTGTAAGCTTGACTTTATTTGCACACCAAACACTTTACTATCAAACCTTATTTGTGTTTCTAAATCAAATAGTTTTTTGATKTTTAAATGCATTTATTTTCAGGTTTTTGATATTTCTAGTATCAGCTGTTTGCAGCTTTGATTTTTGTACAAACTTTTCCCTTTCTTGCCCTCGTAGATTAACTTATGACCTATTAAGTTAACTTATTAAATAAACAAGACAATTAAGCAATTGGAGCGGAGAATTTGGAYCTTATATTTGTATAAACTCTACTCATTTAAAAAAAAAAAGATTTTTCACACTGTTTATCTCTGGTTTGCAATTAAAAAGTTTAATGTGACACATTCAACAGACTAAATTACGAATATGAAGTGTCTGTAATAATCTTATGTTAATAAAGCTTTTTTCAATCTCTCTCTGTATAATACAACATATTCTCTATGACATAATAAAATACACTGAAATATTCTATACTTTCAGGAACAGTTGTGTTGGTATTTACTGCCTATTTGTCATTGTTGATTTGGAAAGCAGAGTRTCTTTGCYAGTTGCTGTTGWCTGCACATAAATGRTTTTAAAATGGAAATTTMTWTTTCAGTTTGGAAGAAAGAAAATTGATTCTCGTCAGACATTACATGTTGGTAACAATGGTAAGACTATATCCCAGAGAAACATTATTGAGTACATTACATAATTTACTTTACATCATAATATATAAAGATATATTCATATTAATGCTSTTTTTCAGAGGTAATCAAGAGAGAAGGGGAGATTTTTGAACCACCTAAGTCACCTATTAAGAGGAATGTCTCTTTTGGGACATTTCAACGTAATTTCAAAATGGAGGATCCATTAGACTTCTTCAAAAGTGGTTGTGAGGTTAGACAATCTTATGGATGTTAAATGTTAAATTAAATAAATATCAGGATATTAATTTAAATATATCTTTGTCAGGCTATTATTGACGATGAAGTAACAAAACGATTTTCTGCAGCAGGTAAGCTACAAGTTATACAATGTTGTTAGAACAAAGGTTGTGATTTGATGAAATAACAAAGAGAGACAGGCAATACTAAAATGAAGATGTACACAAGAACAATAGGCATTGTTTAAAATAATCCTACAATTCTCTGTTTTGTTGTCTCAGTCAATCATTCTGACAGTAGTGGTCGACCCTAAACTTCTTTTAAATGTTAACAATTGCAAATTCAAGTCGAGTTTGAATGTCAATTTATTCTATTTTGACTTTAGAATTAGAATCATGGAACTTGTTGACAAGAACAAACAAGAATTATCATTATGTTAGGTAATTCATCCATTTCATTCATTCATTTATTTATTATTTTATCAATTCATCCATTTCATTCATTCATTTATTTATTCTTTTATCAATGCGTTCATCCATTCAGTCCATTTTTTCTTGCCCTTACAGTACAAAGCTGTCCATTATTTGGGTTCTTGGATTCCTGTTTAGATACTGYATTCTATTACCTTTAAGGTATGATMCRATTCTAAAATGTAGTAAACAAATTTGCATTGTATGTAACTATATTTTTTATTGCCGTCAAATCAGTCTTAACATTACCACATTAACTAATGGGCATTATTGGTTTCATTGATGCTTTATAAGTCAAAAACAATGCTAGGACATTATAGTATATTTACATACATGTTAGTAAAACAATTCTTGTTTGTTTAATCATTAGACTTACCTTAGTAATATATGGTCTTGGTCTGCTCACACTTTCTACAGCAGTTTTAGCCCAGTTACCAGAGTCTAAGTAAGTCCTCATGTTAAATAGTAAAAAGATAAATTTAACACCCTAAAAAAATAACTTATTGACTATTCGGGTATTAATCCTTCGTCGAAGTAAAGAGATGAAACTAGTTTACCGCTAGTTCCCACCACTCGTTTTAAATAAACACAGGTAGCCCATTAAGTTTTATTATGATTCCTTATATAACGTCAATGTTATCTTGATAGTTTCAGAAAGAGGGTCGATAGAATATGTATGCTAGCATCATTTAGAATTCTTGCAAGAGCTCTGTCTGCTGTAATTACATCTCATAATAAGTAAGGGYATATTTTCTTTTTTCTTTAAAAAATGTACAAAGTTTGTAAACATTTTTTGTTTGTTTGTTGAATAGACACAACATGGCCAAAGGTGGTGGAATATGTGTTGCAAACCACACATCGCCTATCGATGTACTCATCTTGGCTTGTGAAAACTCTTATTCCATGGTATGTGCTGATGGAATTCTGAATAGGACACAATCTCTCAATAATTTACTTTTACTAAGAATCTCAGTTAATCAGTAGTAGACCGATTTGAACTATGGCAGACAATTTTATTGACAAGTGTAAATATATTGACTGGATCATTACTCAAGCTGTGCAATACAAAAAGATTTTTCMATGGATMAKTRGMATTTMYRMAGGAATYWGTCTTATGCAATATTGCTTTTCTTTACAGATTGGACAGCGMCAGCCTGGTCTGTTTGGCTTCATACAGAAGATTCTAGCCAAGTCACAAGATCATATTTGGTTTGAGAGATTTGAAATGAAAGATAGAATGATTGTGACTAAAAGGTGCTCTTAGGTTTTTTTATTTTTAATTAAGAAGGAAATCGTCTATTAGTTGTATTAACAATCGGTGGTTATTTCAAAACTTTATATTATGTACGCTATTGTTTGGAACCAACTTTCTTTTAAGATATTAAACTATCTTCTATTTGTTTGTTAAAGGTTAAGAGAACATGTAGAAGACCCCAGTAAGAATCCAATGCTAATCTTCCCTGAAGGTATATTGAACTGCTTTTCAATGTGGGATCATGCTTTATACAGGAGTTCACTCATGATCAGATGGCCTCATCATATCATGTAACACAAGTTTAAACATTTTTGCAAATTGGAGTTTTTTTCTTGGAGCAGTGTTTTTAAAGTGCTGCTCAAATCTTCATGCCTGATGAAATAGGTTTTTTGTAATAAGTTATGTGAATAGATTTATGATCACTGCAGCCTCTGTAGGATGATATTCCAACTATTTGCTTTTCCTCTATTAGGTACATGCATWAATAATACATCAGTGATGATGTTCAAGAAGGGAAGCTTTGAAATTGGTGGGGTCATTTATCCTGTGGCCATCAAGGTACGTTGGGAACCCTGTGGCACAAATGAGTAAAGTACCCAGTAATACTCTTTTTTTATAACCACAGGTAGCCCAACMATATCTAATCTATTGTTTGTTGTAGTATGATTCAACATTTGGGGATGCGTTCTGGAATTCAAGTGCTGAGGGATTTGGCCAGTATTTGTTGATGTTGTTTACAAGTTGGGCCATAGTCTGTGATGTTTGGTACTTGGAACCGATGTATAAAAAGGTTTGTTTAATTTTCATTTAATAAGAATGATGCATCTCAGAGTTACAGTTACATTTAAAGTTTCAATTGTTGTCATTTTAGGAAAATGAAACRTCTGTACAGTTTGCTAATCGTGTTAAGGGGGAAATAGCACAGCAGGGGGGACTTGTGGACTTAATATGGTAAGTTTATGTTATTACATTATTCAACACTTTTGTAAAATTCATCAGAACTTKGCTTTGCACTTTTTTAATGAATGTTTTATGTGTGAAACGATTTTTATTCATGAAGCAATGCATCACCATTAAACAGTTAAAGATAAATGCTAAAATATCCTACACCTTGCAGTGTAATATTGTGTCAATGTATCACTATTCTAACCAACTTAAACACTACTGTAAAMCTTAATGAATAACAGCATAAAGTGGTTTGGTATCCCTGTGTATTCAAGACACAGGTAGCCCACTTTTGATCATTTTATTGTATGTTGCCATAGGGATGGACAACTTAAACGAATGAGTGTCAAACCTGAATATCGGATAAAGAGACAAGAAGATTATGCCAGTACACTAAAGATTGATTGAGCAACATTGGTTTAACATTGAAAATATTGTGGACAGAGAGTCACTAATATGAGCCATTAATGGCATAAACCAGCTTAAACGAGCTTTACCAGTTAAAACCAGTTTCACCAGCTTAAACCAGTTTTACTAGAGTAAACCAGTTTATTAGTTCAACTAGTTTGAGATAGTAATGTTGAGTTCATCAAGTCTTTCTTGCAACTGTCTGAATTGCATGTGAAAATGGACCATTTCATGTCATTGGTGCTAAAGTATTGTACAGTAATTCTTCAGGCTTAGACTAAAATGCAACAGGGTGAAGGCAGGGTAGGGAGATTTTGAGGCCAATTAGGGAAAGGATTATCAGGTAGAATATAAGTGCCCTTACCATTGCTATATCATCTTCACCAGTYATCAGAACATCATTGATGCATTTGACAATTGTGATCCAACGTTCAAAGATGTAAATAGATATAAATAGCAAAAGGAATCTAAATTGAAAGCTTATATGCTAATAACTTGAGAGAAAACTCTAACCTCTTAGATTTTATACGTTTGTCTACTTATTTCATATAATAATAATTTATTGAATGCATGATCCCAAAATTATGTTTTGAAATGTCTTTCTTTTTTGAAAATATACGAGAATATAGGACTTGRTGTGTCATAGAACTATAGTTTATTGTAGTGTTCAACTACAAAATCCTCTGCTTGTTTGCAGCTAATTTGGTATCTAAGGYATTTTTGGATCAAAATAAATAGAATTTCAATAAGTCTGTGATGAAGTTAAGCAAGAAAATGTACTTGGATGCATTTCTTCATTTGTCTCCCTATTCGTATTCCCATCTACTTCCGTATTCCTTTTCAGTTCTATTTTTCTATTCTTTTCATCTGCATTTCTTCCTTTATCCCCTTCCTCGTTTTCCCATCTACTTTCGTGTTCCATTTCTTTCTGTTTTTTCTTTCTATTCCTTTCTTCTCATTCATTTCCTCTTTCCTTGAACAACCCCACCTTTCTCCAGTGATCAACAACACTTCAATATCTTACAGTTTATTGTCWTCCATGAGTTATATTATTAAGTCCATGTAGTTTGAAGTACTTAGATGTGTACAACAAAACGAATACACTATCAGCGATAATGAGCATGAGAAGCGTGACGAGCGTGACATCCAAACAGCTTTAGGTTTGACAGCTAAACTACTTAAGTTGGAAAGGAAAACTCTCCGTTTTTCGGCGCTTTTTTTGTGATTGAGCACCAGTATATTCTAACCTTTCTCAAAAACTAGTACCTGCGTTTAAACACTAGTATCTCATTATATCTTTCTTACCCTACGAAACAGTACCACATATTATACTATTCTCGTACATCCCTTGGTGGATCTCAGAAGCTCTGTAAACCAAAAAAATCCTGCCTTGGCTTTAATTTAGTGCTTGTATTAGCAAAACATGTTTTGTAATCTTAGACTCCCCCCAGTGTTTGGGTAAGGTGGTGTAAGTACGAGAATAGTGCTTGTGTTGTTTTGTTTATTGACAAGCTTCTAGTAATTATATCTAGCGAAGTCGAATTTCGAACTAGTCCTAACACTCTAATCTACAAGTTTGACGGGTTTTCAAGCTAAATAAATACGATCTGATGATTTTAAAATAAGGTAGGGTTTCTTACAGATAGTCAAACTTACTTCAACCGTTTTTTTAGAGTTCCTTTGACTAACTCTCTAGCTACCTCTCAAGAAAAAAGAGGAATTTCTTCCTAACATTGGTTGGGGCTTTACACCTTATTTGGTATGATGCGCTATGTCTTTGATACCTTGCCTATTGCTGTGGATATAAGTTAACCTTAAATATATATCATAATTCTTCTGACARTTGTGAGAGAAATCGATTCATGCTTGATCAATTTAGCAGGGGATTCCCTGGGAAATCTTCCATTTCCAATTTTGAACTTCATCATTATCGATCACTTGGTGATTGTCTCGATCAAATATTCCATTTCGAATTTTGATCTGCATAGTAAACGGTCGTCTGGTAGCTTCGATCGCATGTTCCATAATTTTGATCTGCTCTGCAGTAAAAGTTTTGATCACATGTTTCATTTCGAATTTTGATCTGCACTGTAAGTTTTGATCAAATCTTATATATTTTAGTGTAATGTCGATCTTTGTTCTCAAAGACCACGTGATGGGTTTCTCAGCATCCATTCAATTGATCGTTGCAATCAGAGACCACATGATAGTTGTAAGTGATCACACCTTCCATTCCAAGTGTTCGCATCAACATTTTCACGTATAGCGTTGATCACATCTTCCATATTAGATAAGATCACGTGGTGATGATGATCGCATCTTCCATATTAGATAACCGCTTTCGTTTATGTTTACGTGGCGATTCTGATCACGTCTTCCATGTGCACACGATTGTTCGTTCAAATGCATTATACAATGGATGTTTTTAAATCGTCTTCAGCGATGTATTGTCCGTCTACGTAAAAGTAGAATTGATTTCGCTCGCGATCGTGAAAGGTTGATATTTCTGAAGTGTCATTACCCACCTGTGAATCAAGTTCGTCAGTTTTGAGGAGAGGTTTGTAAACAGCGCTGGACGGATTCTCGTTATCGCTAGGGTTGTTATTTGTATCACTTAATAGCGAATTAGAATCAGCGTCCTTGCTATGGTTTGCTTCATTAACCTGAAGAAACTCGTCGTCATAATGAACATGACGTTGATGGTTGGTGTGTTCCTTCCCGTTTGGTTGTGTAGCAAGGCAGGGTTGTATCTCGTGATCCTTTTCAATGTAGGTTTCCTCGTGAACTCTTTTGTCCAGGGCGTGGTCCGAGCTCGAGTCCTGTAGCGATTCTTGAGGCGGATTCTTAAACCCGAGCARTCTCTTTATCCTTGAYTTAGGTTTACCGTTRGGTATTCTACCATTACCGACATCCTCGTGAGACTTCTTTCTTAGCGTCGCACTGCGTCGACTGCTTGGAAAGATCATGGTAGTGATAGTCATGTCATCATTGAAGTTGTTGGGATTGGTACAGCAGCGTCGAAACAGATTCCTAAAGGCTACTTTGAAGGTAGGGTTTAGGAAGGCGTAGATGATGGGGTTCAGACAGCTGTTAAGATAATGTAACCACTTGACAGCTGGCGCTAACGCAGGGATGCTCCTCATGGTATTTTGACAAGACAAATCACAGTATTGGAACGTTAACGATACAATAAAGAAAGGCAACCAACAGAAAACAAACGAACCCGTCACCACCCCTAAGCTTTTGGCAGTTTTGAACTCTTTATCTAGACGTGTTGAACCTACTTGGTTCGAGAGACGTGCTTTGGACGATATCACTACCATGATACCAACATAACAGAACACCATGATAATTAATGGAACAACGAAACCTATAATGAATATAACCAAGAATTTCCAGTGCCATTCTAGTATGAATAAGCACCCAGTCCCAATAGAGTACAACCACAACCCAAAGATGATATAGACCGACGTCTCCGGTGTCATTTTTGTGTGGTGTGATAAAGGACTCTTGATAGCAAAGTACCGGTCTATTGATATGAATAAAAGGTTCACAATCGACGCTATCGCGCACGATATATCAAGGATGGTCCAAAACAGGACCAATGTGTTAATATCCCAACCTTCAGGAAACGTTGTCCATTGTGTTATCTGATAGGAAAGCCAGAATGGCTCAGACAAAAAMGCTACCATCAGATCACTGACTGCAAGTGACACTATAAAACAGTTTGTTACACTTCGACGAATCTTTTTATAGTAATAGAACGAGGCGATGACGAGGGAATTGCCTGATATTGAGAGAATWATAAGTACACTCATGGCGATTGCTGATATAACTCGTTGTGCTAGTGACGGCATTGGAATCATTTTGGATTGTGGACCACTAGTGTTCGTCACGTTGGAGAGGTTCGAGGACAAGGATATGTTTACTTCTGTGAAATTCGTCATTGCTGCCTGGAATTTAGCCTGGAAAACAATGATGAAAATAKTGAGATTAATCGTAGATTGCAGTTCATCGAATGGGCAACATATACAACAAAAGGCTGCATTAAAAGTCCATGTAGGCTTCTTATACTAAAGAGTAAACATACACACCCTTACTACAGGATTCTAATCATGAGGTGACACGCCCATTTCTGCCACCATTTTCTTGACAAAATAATTACAACACTAATTTCCCGACTTTAAAAGAAAACATCATTTGTTTTTAACCTATTTTGCATAAAAAACATCCCACAGACTGGGCTATTGGTTAATCCAATGTGATTTCGATATATCTTAAAATCTAACTAAACCATTCACCATTAACTCGCACACAAAAAATAAACGCGGTTGTCAAGTTTCATTTTAAAGAAACATTYAATTAACCATGCCATTCATTTGTTTTAGCTTGTCATGGCTAAGAAGCTGTAATGAACTAATATGTTAATGCAATAATAACCAGAAAAGATGGCGTAGATAAGTTAAACAATAACTAAAATAAAAGCAATTCAAACACAGTGCATGTGTKATATGGACTGATAACTGCACGTGACCCGATGTTATCACTATCAACTTAAACCTAACGTGTTCATAACAAAAAATCTTTAAATGAACTCACTTTAGGGTCCTTTTATCACTAAATAAAAATAAAATAGGAATTACTAAATTATCATTATATGATAAAATGCCATTTGTGTCACTATAATTCACGTTTCCCTTTTACTCTGACGGAGAATTGATAACTGAGTCCTGGTCAGTTTATAGGTAGTGTCACTGCTGTATTTKCAATGAAGCTGAGTAAAGAGAATATTCCCGCTATTCCAGGGCTTTCTAAGAGAATGTGTATGCATGAACGAAAGATTCTGTGTGAGGTAGTCTATCTATAAACATTTACCAATAACTAGTAGTCAATACATTACGTACTGATCTCTTGAAACGACAATGCAGGGCTGTGATTTGTTTCGTACTTGATAGAGCAATACCCACAATAGTCGATCAGACTTTCCTGGTYGACTGATCCTACACAAATGTACTACTATGAACGTGGTCCTGCATTTATGTAGGGTATGTTTACCTCCCTGCGCAACTACATTGAGAGTAATCAAAAAATGAATGAAATTTCATAAACTCACGAAATCTGGAAAGGGACTTTCTAGTTCTATTAAACAATAACATTCCTACAATCTGGGTGGTTCTCACTGACCTCCCCGACGAATACTTGCACACTTAACACTAGACCACTACRCTAATATATCCAATTAATAAACTAGGAATTAAACCACAAAKTCTATGATTCTAATCGGGTAATTTTACCAGTTGTGGTTTATTGTTAWTGCGAACTCGACTAGAACATCGCTATGTTTTATCTAAATTTGATTCATTAAAAATAGGAACCACCTTTGAACTTCCATTGTCACCTATCGTTGCGTTAAAAAACAAAATGATWTATTTCCCATCCATTTATTTTGCTGTTAATCTTATTTACTGGGAGTTTGTTTATTTTAGTTTCGGTTTGTAAGTCAGTATCAACATGTCTATGGAATTAGCTGAAGTAATTGTTCATTAAGGGTTGCGGAATTTGTCTCTACTTCTTTAGAAATGGCAGGGGTGCTACCACAATCCACCCAACCATCGCAAATTATTCCACTTTCTAATGTTTGTAACAAGTCAGGAATTTTGTTGATATCTCGAACTCCATTTGGTATCCGGTGCATTTAATATCTCATAAACCATCGATTAAATATCAATAAAACTAATAATTGGTTTGGCTGTTTTCTTGATAGATATCGCCATGTCTCTAATTATGTATAACCAATATTTATAGCACCCGAGGCCTYAAACACCTTAATGAAAAAACCTGATAATCTTAAATTAATATTGGATACCAGCGGCTGCGACGCAGTTGTTAAGTTTTAAAGCACTCGCTATTTGGTATATTTATATATYAATAGAGGAGGTTTCTCAGTCCAGACAAAGAGTACCTACTGGGCTAAGTAGCTATGTTGTTTATGTCTTTTTCTTTCTCTCTATGGAATCATTTTATATTAGTCATTAAGCACGGCTCGTTGTACAATGTTAAGCTCTGTCTGTTAAGAAATATTAACTMATATCCCTTCATCCCTTAACAAATATACAATAGACAAAAAATAAAGAAGTTACTTACAAGATTCTCCCTTTACGATTGAAAACAACCTTTCTTCGGTCAAGTTAAACTATTGGCGTTATGTCGAAGAACATGGAACTTCTTTAATGGAGTCGCATTGTGTAAAATATGTTCCGTCCAGAGTAGATATTAATTCAAAGCCGATTTTGTTTCATTGGCAAACTGTACGTGATCTCTTCATCTATGTCTGTGCTGCTTGTTCTCTGTGACATGGGTCTTAAGTCATATTATACCGCAGTGCCTATAAGCACCGGTTTGAAAACATCACTAGGGGGTGCCTCATTTACATCACATCAAATCACTTTGAATGCTAGTTCACCAACCGACCTCTGCGAAAAAAATCGYCTTCAATGGACTTCAATGTAGAATTTCTCAATGGTTTATCRAGCTTRCAGGATTTATTGAGTTACTTGGTAGCCATGAAATTATCAATCAATCAACCTTAATTCATAGTTTAGTGACTTTGAAGGCTGGTATTAAACCCGCTGSGAATCAAATACTCATTGATTGCAGCCGATAGACCCAACCCAACGTTATCAACGCTTCTTGTTGGYCACCTCTTCCAAGAAATAGAATTCTAGTTCCTTGGGGCACTRGAGTGCTTGTCGTAGTGGAAAATTGATTTTAGCAATCTTTGTGTAGTTGTTCATTATGATTGCTGACCTGAGGATGGAAGACCATCTCATAACCCTCAGGGAGGATCAGTTTTGATCAACCAAAACAAAAACAAAGTTGAGTTAAACTAAGAGGTCCGATTTTTTTGTTTGATTGCTATCTAAATCCTTCTTAATTCCTTATCAACCTTCTGCTATTCTATGGTATCTTAGCGTCAATTAACCGCATGCTTTATGTTTAGTCCAGTGTGGAAGTTCTTTGAGTTGCGTGACTGACAAGTAGATTGTTGATAGTTCGATTCTAATTGAAGTTTTTGTGCAACAAATAACCTTGACTCTTTTCAGACATTCATATTGTTTCCTTATTTCTCGGTTCAAAGTCTACTTGATGGATTAAAGCCGTATGTATTGGTTATATACGGATTATTAGGACTCTGCGATCTCTTATATGCATATTGTGAGCCAGTATTCCATTAGAGACGCTAATTCTATAACTACCTCTAAACTAGCAACGCATTGAACCGATTCTTCAAGTCACGAGGTAGAATTAGAACATTATGTCCAGCATWACCTTATAAGAAATTTCTTATTACGACGTCGTTCAATCTCCTAATAAGGCTATGTTGCATCTTTCTATTCGYATGAAAAAGTGGTTTCYATAGAAACAGTTACAGTCACTGTACGTCATCMGTGACGTCAAGAATGACGAATACGAGTATAGTTTGCATCCTTACATTATTTTATTTTTTATGTAACATGTAAAAACTCGGTGTGTGAGCGTTTTGGGATTGTAATTTTTTCGTTTTGTAGATATGGTCAGTCAAATACCAAATTGTGCGTCAAAAATCAGTTAAAGGGCCGTAAAGTGTTTTATCAGTGACTTGAAGGTGGTGAATGGCACTTCAAGATGAGATCTATTTATAATCAAGTCCRTGTATTTCTTACTGCAATAATGATAATGTTCATAGACAGTGAATCAGTGTTAAACACACCTTGGTTCAGAACGTCCCGTCAAACGGATAATCTTCATTAAACATCGATTACTTTCTTATGATGGTAAATTGATGATTCCAACTACAGTATGTCTAATATGCCTGCTGGAAAGATCTCTTAGTTAATAACTACCGCGCTTAATAAAACAGCAATTACTATCCATGTTATCTCGTATCTACCTTGACTTACACGACTGCTCTGCTGTTCTCTGATAACTGTGAAAACCAACAGATGTCKTTTTTTATAAGTTTTCTTGCATTTTGAAATGAGATGAAGATGTTCTTTCTGTCTCGTGTGAGACCGCGGTTTTAATCACAGTGATAGTTCCTGAGAAACGCACTAGAAAATATTTTAATCTTAAAAGTGATTCATCAAAGCTGCTCCATTATAACTCTGTCTGAGGGCGGCCATAATATATATCACTAACAATGCCACGTGATCAAATGAACCAATCAGATTGGCTAAAGTGATTATTCAAGATGGCCACCATCTTGGTAATATTTGTAAAACTCCGAAACTTATAATTATCATAACTTGTTGATATTTTTTATTATTAAAATACTAAACTATAGACGAGGCATTCTAAACTATAGGCATTTTAAGATTCTTTGCGTATCCAGAGAGTTCTTGAAAACAGCAGGGCGTTAATTGATGTTCAGTTCTTACAAGTAATCGAGCAAAAGCTTCATTGAACTGTGAAACTATACGATCGTCGTAAATCGACTAACATGAAATCTTCATTTTTGCAGTATTCTGATTTTGGAGTATTGTTTTTGTATTCTTATTTTTCTAAATTGTTATATGTAAATAGTGCGCCTTTATGTAATTTTTCACGACTTGTTTGATGAAATTTTATAAAGCAACTTGTAAAATTGCAAGTCAACACCACTTTCAGACTATTTGCAATCGTTTCTTTACTCAGACCTACGACACTCGTCATCTTTTTCAATTGCGCATGCCCACAGGTGCGCAGCCGCCTCTTTGAAAAAAATCGCTGGCGCGCGCATGAAAACGAGGATCGTCTACTGCGAGTTCAGTGCCTCTCGAACAGTAAATGAGAGCATTTAAGAGACTGCGTACTAATCTTTTTAATTAAATCCTATTTTGGTAATCGTGTTTATATTTGTACTTAACTAAACACTATTAGAATTACTAATTGCTTTGTCTTCTTGTATATCTGTTGATGTGTTGGGCTAAGTAGATCGAAATTCACCAACCAGGCATGACTCTGTATTGTCTCTGTTAATCAYATAAGAAGCTTACATGATCATCTGTCTAGAATATACCTCAATATCGTCTAGATGTACATGTGTAGATTTTAATGCATAACTTTGCTTAAACCATTCCTTTTTGTGCGTTATCCTGTCATTGTTGACACCGTGCAAAGGACAGTTACGTTACTAGAGTAATGAGATAGCAAATGCGGTCAGATACTGCTGTTAGATGGTAAATACTTAACTTTATATGGAGTCGAGCTTTTGCTGTTCTACAGCAGTAACTTACGTTACTATAGCGTGAACTGTTGCTAGCCATGATCGCTTCTCGTTATACAGAGCACCATAACGTAGTTAGTTATCACTATCAATGATCGAGTCGATAACTTTGATTATTTGTTACAAACCGATAGAAATGCAAATTTCGAGAAAAACTCACAACAAGAAAATTGACCGATATCAGTAGTGAAATGATCATCGCAAAGAAAAGCTCAATATTTGTAAACAACTACTCCTTCCCTCGCGAAATAAGATACAAATTGGTATTTTTAAATGAAATGTTTTATGAGTGAAGTTTGTCAACGAGCATACCTATGAAGGGAAATCATGTTCAATATTTCTACTAGACGTTTCTTATAATRCACGTTTTTAGCTCATTTACCGTCGGTTGATTATTATTTGTCTCTTCAGATTTCCGCAAAAAAACTAATTTACGTTCATTTTGACCTTTCTGTCCTATTTCCCTGTTAAGCTTTATAAAGAGGGCCATTGATAGTATTTATTCTTGTTTCCTCTTGTACTTAATTAATGTTGTATAGGTTGAGCAATTTCTCCTATATTAATAGCATTTACATTTTCTTGTAATTTATGTATAAAAAAATCTCAGAATTTGTGCGTAGGAATGCTTTTCTATATTGACAAATTTCCGTTCATACAGCCTTTTGCAAAAATTATGAGACATTTTTATATATATAAATATACCTAACCAAATACAGCCTTTTGCACAAATTATGAGACATTTTTATATATATAAATATACCTAACCAAATATCAAAAACACCCAAGAAATTATGGGATACCGTCGCTGATATTTTGTCATGATTGCCTAGCATCAGGTTGTTACAGCCAAAATATCAGCGACGGTATCCCATAATTTCTTGGGTGTTTTTGATATTTGGTTAGGTATATTTATATATATAAAAATGTCTTATAATTTGTGCAAAAGGCTGTAATCGCCTACAAGAATATATATATATATACTCTCTCTCTCTACTCTATAGTGTAAACGGTGATTGCTTTAAATTCCTCTGACGGAAGAGATCTTTGAAAACTTAGACCGCTCCATTCTTTTAGCGTTTTGATTGGTCTTATTAAGGATTACCGTTGTAGATATCACTAGCTTAGCTGAGCTCATCCCATCACAACCAAAATCCACCGCAACTAATCTGATTTCAGGCTTATCTACAGGGCGTGGCATACATGCGGCTTATAGTATTTGTTTGTAATAACCGCGAATTGATTCTAAATGAGTAAGAACTTGATAAACACAATGATGTAGAATTATATAAATGATTATATCATTACTTAAAGAAATGAATGGAAAAGAAATAATTAAACGAATGAATATTTACTGAAAGAAGAAATTCCCAAATGAAATAATTATGGAATTGAATAATTATTTAAGTAGATAAGACATCTATAAACCAATGCAATCAATAGATAAATAAATCAATAAAGAGCCGAAAATAGCTGAAAAAAGTCAATTATTAATAGGTAATTTTTTGTAGTACTCATAAGTGGTACAAAATAAAAATAGTGAATTTGAACTCCTGAAACTCGCTAAATGTCATTATCAAGAGGGGCTAGATGTCTGACCTARAGCTCCCCAGAGATGTCGTATTATTTTACATAAGAATAAAGGTTTKTATTTTATATAAGCTGATATTGAGGCAAAGGACTACAATTTTATTTTAGAACTAAAAAAAGACAGTAATTTAGTGTACTTGACCRGCATCCTTGACCAGTTTATGAAATATTTCAGTTAAAGTGTTTATCGGCTGTCTCTTAAATTAACTTAACCACTTATAGCAACAAACTCGACTATTAAATCCCAATTGAAATATCTAGTAATCTTCCGTTCCTAAATTAACCACGCTAAATTTGTTGAGTCCAACAGTCCAGGGTCGCTATAGTTCGAGCCTGTCTTCTTGGTCAATGATGGATCCTGTTAAAAAATGTTTTCCTTGTGGATTTTGAAGCCCAACTTTCAGCAAAATCCCTAGCGAATGATAACCCGGTGTTGGGCGCCAAGCAAATTGTCTTTGGTGTGATCTTTTCATTGATACAGCTTTGATTCAAAAGATAGTTTTAGATCACATTCCTAATAACCTACGGGTGATTATCCTGTATGTTCCGGTTATCAATGTTTTTTTTTTGGATCATTGCGAAAGTAACTTTAAGTAAATTAGTGACATATGTCTATAACATAAAAATCATGTAATATCTTTCTTGCTCAATGTTTTAYGTGTTCACAGACACTTTGGCTTTATAAGTGTTCGTGGATGACTAAGATAAGCTCATTCTGTCCGAACACGATCTGTTTTTGTTCAGTAATCGATATATACTATCTCCCACAGATCCTTGTTGTTATTATTGAAAAACATTCTAAAGTGCTTTCAGCCTTCTGTAAACTACAAAAAAACATATTACTTTACAATAAACTAAGTTAAGTGGTGTAAGCAATACTCAATAGTATATGTTGTCGATGTTWTTCTTCCCTGACCTTATTATARACGTGTACGTTAAACTGTTGAGACAGGACATTATGCCGATATGTAGTATTTGCTTTTGATGGGTACAAACATTTCTAGCTAGGCAAAACTAACGTTTTCAATGATGGCTTTGATCATATTTTGGTTAACGAGAAAACCACAATGCAAATTCCCCAGGAAAATTGTTTACACAAATATATATTCATAACCAAATAGAATTGAAAGGAAACTCAAACACAATGTGTAAAATTAATGAAATAAACGGCTTAAAATCCAAACAAGTCGATGTTTTAGTTGCTCCTTTAACCCATAGGAAATTATCCCTTATYGATTRGGGTAAATTGCGTGATAATTGAATTCACAGGCGCCAATGTATTTAAAGAAGATTGATGAGGGATTTTCGTGTTTATTTTGCATTTTTAACATGGATTTCGTTTTCTTTTAGACCACACAAACATTCGCTAGCAATGCAGAACCTTCTATTGTTAGTAATACACTGAAAGACTTAAGGTTGTCACCGACATTTAAATCTGAATCAAACCTTACTCATCTTATAATCTTACTTCGCAAATTAGTCGCACTAATTGATCGTGCACACTTATCTAGAGCTCTAGATGGCAATAAATTGATTTGAAACTCCGAAAAAACGATAGTTATTAAACATTATACAGCTGATACATCACACTAACWAAAAGCTTAATTATTCGTTGATAAACAACGCGCACGACACGATGCTAACATGAAGGTTAATGTATGACATATAGAGCAACTAACCTTGCACGACAGACTTTATAAATCACGCGATGGGGGTTCAGTTATTAACAATCTTTCATTGAATTCAGTGTTTTTGTCCTGTGTCAAGTACAAGCACTTATGCTACTAAATGGTTCTTGCCCACGCCAAAGAGAGAGTCTCTCCTTGTTTTCATTTATGGTTTCGCGCTATTCTAAATCCCTTTCATGCGGACGTCAATCAAGTCAATATGCGATAATTTTGCTTTAATATACTTACGTTGATTTTGAAGAGCGGTCAACACTAAAGATTTACTGCTCTTTGACCAGACCTGCAACGAAATAAACCATATATTAGGTTGATACTGGGAAAGGCATTTCTAAAAAAGGTGTGTTAATATATAGCGTGCTGCATGGCGAAAACTGACCACTGATTCTCATGACAAGCACTCCAGGTGCTCGAGTTTCGTGTGGACTTTGATTTTTCAGACGACACAGCAGGCGTTTTCAGACAATTTGACCATTTTCTTCAACATCTATTCTACTCATCTTCAACACCGTTCACTTGGTGTTCGATGATTCTGGTTTTAGGTAGAGAGGCTCTCAGTACATTTTCAGTTCATAGGAACCTTGAGAAAGCGTTCAGCTTGGAACAGTACAGTGTAGATCACAGTTTTTAGCAGATAAGTTTTGTGACACTTGAGGTTTGAAGGCGTCTATCATTTCACTCGGTCCCTTATCTCTTTATATCATTCAGATATCAGTCATGCAACGGTAGGGTCTCTCAGTTTCCTAAACAGCACATTGCTTACGTTGTTTGAATAGCTAGAGAACAAAAACAAGAGCTTGGCTACCACAACGAATGGGCGTACTCGCTGGCGCAGGCTTTACTAATATGATGTGGATCATCAAGCTGAGCTACAACAACGTCAATGTGGGCGTGTATTTTTACTAATAGAACGATAAACTTGGCTAGGAGAGCTGTCGATGGTCTTAGGAATGAAAACTACTTAGCTGTTTGGATGCATTTAGTTCGTATGCGTGAACAGAACTTCGCATACAGAAAGTCCACGAGAAAAAGCAGTTGATGGGGCATCAAGTGTTTTGATTTTTTGTTTTAATAATACTACATACATAGATACAAGACTAGTTTGATGGGATGCCATGGAGTCAGTTTTATATGTTTTGTTTCATGAGCTACTAAATATGGCGAGTTTCTGACAAGAAATTGGAAAACCTTTTCCTCAGCTCATAAAGTTAACCCTGACCACAAACCAAACCCGCATGGAGTACTTTGCCAAAGAATGATTCAACGATAGCCATTCCCAAGGTGGAATAGCGTGATTATTCGTCTATTAACGATAGGTTAACCATCAAGGTGTTTTGCAAGCATTTTACACTTCTATTGCTGTCAGTGATCATCACGCAATGCTCTACAGACATGCGCATGGATTGGAATCATTTTATGAAAATAAGGAAGCCATACGGATGAAGTTAACGTGTCATGTTTGTATCCATCTGGCCTTGTGAACATTTGATCGTTCGGTTTATCGCAAAATTCCTCAGCTTCAATCTGGGGCGAATTATCTGCGGTGTTTCAGTCTACTATGGTCTGTGATACTTCTGGTCGCGATACTCCGATCTCTTTAAATCAGTTCCTTGAGTCTGGTATTTCTCAATATCTTCGTTAATGCGGGCATCCTGTATTTTGATCTTGATAGGATTGATAGTTTGGAGCGAGGTTGGTTGAAGTTTTTGTGTGATTAAAATTTCATATTAAACAAAGAAAGGAATATTAATACATCACTGAACTATTTTGGTATTCAAATGAAATGATTAAGAAACGCATGAATGGTGTAACGACAGCAAAGGAAAAAACATGTCCCGGTAAACAAACATGAACTATAAAACAAAGAGGTACGAAGAAATTCAGTGGAGAARAAATAGAAATCTTGAACTGACGTAAAGTGAAAAGAAAAGAAAGACTTACGCTCTTATTTTACCTGGATGACTTACGCTCTTATTTTACTTGGATGAAAGCAATATCATATTTGTTTTCTTAAAATAAAGTAGAAGGATCTTCCATAACGCGAGGTCTGGTACAAGTGAAGCGTTTCGACTTACTTATACATTGAGTAAAAACCTTCGCTTTTCCACGATTCGAGATTCCGTCTCTTTAAGTTTGTGTAGTTTTGAAGTCAACATATATAGCCTTCATCGCCGCGCGTGTCTCTAAAGTAATTCTACTTAATCTTTCCCTTAGGCTCGCAATACCAATTAACTCTTCCTGGCTTATTGGACATTTTTAGTGGCCTGCAACGATCCTCAGAAAAGGCCATGTTTACCTATTGATACAACTCTCCGCTGGAACGAAAGCATTTCCCCTTTTTGCGATTTATTTCATACACCGTGAGACGTGGCTAGTGTGAATGTAAACACTAAGTTACAGTAAACCTTTAATCCTATTTGTTTCTTACCCATAATCCTTGTTAACGGGTCATGGAATCGTGGTTTTATACACATGAATACGATCTTCAAAACATGATTAATGAACTCATTGTATTTCGTACAAGCTCCACAGTTCCTGTTTAGTTTGTAGACGAGTGTATGTGACGATATGAAGGACAACATGAAAAATGAATCATATACCAAGGGACCGTATATCAAGGGACCTCACAAGGCGACGTCCAATTTGGCCATATACAAAAGACCTTATACAAAAAGGGACCAACAGGGAGCATTATATGAGAGGTAATTACTAGAACGTCTACATAGTCCTTAATACGAGTGGGATTACTTTCAAAGACCACCATAAAAAGGACCTCATTAAAAAAAAAAGCTTCCATACGAAAGAAGTACAATAGGGGGACCATTTGGGTAAAGGACATTATATTCCAGGCGCTTACGACTTGCGGTCCATACCTCAAAAGAACTCGCCGATTTTTGATCAAAATGAAAAGGACCTCATTAAAAAAAAAAGCTTCCATACGAAAGAAGTACAATAGGGGGACCATTTGGGTAAAGGACATTATATTCCAGGCGCTTACGACTTGCGGTCCATACCTCAAAAGAACTCGCGCGAATCTCGCTGCCAGTATTCACTCGACGAATAATCGTTTTCAAATTATCAGCGTGTTGACAGTTGACTTCTCTTAACTTCAGTCAGAGACACGACTTATTCGTTCTCTCTGATTTGCCCTCTTGATTTGATTCTGTTGACCTCGTTCGCCATTTTCTTGTTCCTGATGGACTCTCCCAGTGTCTCCCCACCCACTCCCTCACAGTAAGAAAGTTATTTCGAAAAATTTTCATTTTCCCTTCGATTATAGTTTAGAAATCCTGTAATTCTTTCCTTTTCGTACACAGTGGGCTTGATCTACACCGCACAACTTGTGTGGTTGAAGTAATTATAGGTTGCATGCGTTGCTGGTTGAATCTTACCTTGTAAATCGGCCTTGGAGAGGATTTTGTAATGGTACCAGAAGGAAGAGATTTCATTCATGGCCGGCAGACGCATCGACTACAGATGTACACGAGTTTACATTTGACTTATTTATAACATGCAATTAACTTCATATACCAATAGTGATCACTATTGACACGACGCAAGTCATTTTATTCATGTTGCATGAATGGTGCGGAAAGGCGGCAATGTGCTTGAGCCAGGCGCTAAAACTTTACAATGTAAATAGATGTATTACTTACTGTACTGCAGCTTCTTGTCCAAATCAATTCACAGAGTTGCCTGGTTGAAAGGCAATCCCGATCAGCTAACAACCATATGGTGAACTATTTTGACCAGAACTGAAATGAAAACATCATGGATTGTACTAATGTCTATCATCTCATGCCCGTGAACAAACAATCCCTTCCAAGGTAAATATCACACGGCGGGTTACAACAATTTGGAGGCTAAGCCGTGTAAGCTGCTCTGTATTTTTTCCGCCACTTAAAGTCGCTACACTTAACCCGTAAAATAGTGAATGCACTACAAGTTAGAAGAGAGAGACTATAAGGAAAGACAGAAACAGGAAAGGGTGCGGAGTCAGTGGTGGAGGTGCTTTGTGCCACCCTAAGCACTATGGCGAAGGAGATGGGGTTTTTAATTGTTTTTCTTTGTTTCTACTAAAGTATAACGCTCTAACAAGTAGTTTTTGTTTAAAGGGTTAAGATTAAAAACTTTAACAGAAATGTAATGTTGATTATTAGAGTTGGACCCAGGGGTAGAGTCCATATCGGGCACAATCCCTGTAAACTTCATTACCCTCCCCCCCAGTTGATTATCGTATTAATGTAAGTTAATACTAATAATCGCGATCATATTGATGAAAGCTCAAAAACAAATAACAATTCTAAAAGCTGTAACTATTGCGGTTCTGTTCCTAAAGTGTTATCTAAATTGCATTCCCTAGACAGAGACATAACAAATTTCCAGGAAGTCTACTTAGCCAAAATAACAATTCTAAAAGCTGTAACTGTTCGGTGCTGTTTCCAATATTTATCTAAATTGCATTCCCTAGAAAGAGTCACAACAAATTTCCAGAAAGTATACTTAGCCAAAATAGCCGGCAGATAGTACATTAGGAAAAATATACAATACTAAAATTACCCTACTACGTCAAACATCGCATCCTTACATGGAGTCGGCTAGTATCTCATTGGTTCAGGAGCCCTGTGTATTGTGTGTTATAGTGACCTTATTGAGTACAGTCAAAGGAATGCGAGAGATGTTACCCCACTGGAAATCCATACGACGACGTTTTTCTCTTTCTTTCAGTCTTTCTATTCCTAGAGTACTTTCTTTTTCATTTTTATTTCACATTTATTTCTTATGAATTCTTGGAGTACTGCGTCTTTCTCATTTTTATTTCACATTTATCTCTTATGAATTCTTGGAGTACTTTCTTTTTCATTTTTATTTCACATTTATTTCTTATGAATTCTTGGAGTATTTTCTTTCTCATTTTTCTTTCACATTTATTTCATACGAGTTCTTGAAGAGAATATATGTTTTTTAGTCTTTTAATCAAATTCTGTCACCTTGACTGTCCCTTAACATGACAAATCGACAAATAGCACTTACAATTACGAGCAAAATAACGTTGACTTTTCGCGATAAAGAACGACACTGACTATCACCGAGAAATAAAACACGTGTTTCAAGATAACCTGACTTACTAATACCGAGCAGACTTTGCTAATGAGGAAAAAAAGAACAACTTGTCGACGTGCGAGAGAGCGCCTACGTCTGGTGTTGCTATCCCCCGTTTGATTTCATGTAAAAAGGAAGCAAGTATGCCGTGTCACGATAAGATAAAATTGACATTACGCGGTTTCTGCGCATGCTCATCGATATGCATGGCTAGTGACAGTTGTAAGTTACTTTAGTAATCTGGGGAAATCACATCGTAAAACTAGTTTTTTCAACGTATGAGTATAAATATCAACAAAGTAGTTTTAAGGGTATTATGATTACTCTTCGCGTTAGTCTAAATACGTTTAAAAACTATTGTTTTAATAACATTTAAAAGAATGATATAATTTAACTAATAAGATGATTTGAAAATAAAACTTTGTTATAACAATTCGGTAATAAGATCTTAAATCGGTCGACTGCTTAAGTTTTTTTCATCGTCACTTTGTTGGTTTTAAACATTGGTATTTACACAATTGTTAACTATTTTTCTAACCTCCTATGACGAACGAATAATGTTCAAAACGTCTGTGGATATTACTCTTGTTACCATCCAATAATTCCTGTAGTTACGTCATTGCGATGAACAAGTTGAGCTTTAAAATTCTTCTAATAATGAGAAATTTTTCCATCATGAACCAGGCAATACCTTCACCATCAGCGAGTAACTCTACTATACAGGGTTATCTGATATCGCAAGAGGCTAAGTAGATCTCATTATACAAAATGGAATGTTTTAAAACGTTTTGATGTGTACCACATGACTATTGTAAATTGCCCATACAATGCGCATATCAACCGGATATGATGGCAAATGCACTTGGATTTTGCCTTTTGATCGAGATTGTTGAAAGGTTTTCGATATGTTTGTATGGGATTGAGTTAGTAACAGATGGTATCCGATATGTAAGTGTGTGGTAGCTATGATGACTTGTACTTCTTGTAGCTCGAACGCTTTATCTTAGCAAACATGTCGCTTGGACATTTCAGCATCATGCAATTTATTTCATGTTGTCTCAAGCGATTAGAGGCGACAAACACCACAATTATCATCAGTCGCACTGAGACGCGCAGATGTAGTCAATTCCTTGACATTGAATGACAAAAAAAGAATTGTACTTCTTCCAGTTYTCGTACATAACAGCGAGCTTTAAGCCCTCGTAACCAGTACGAACGCAACGTACAAAATAACATGTTCTAATTAATGAATTTAGGGAAAAAAGGATACGAGAAAACCAGCGAGTAGGGGAAAAAACATTTATTACATTTAAAGAAAGATTCAAACCGGACATCAGCAAATAAATGACTAAAAAATGAAAGAATAAAATGTGAGTAGCGCAAAGTAGAACGGCGTCATTAGACTAGACCGGTAGCATGTGCTATCGAGCTGGTTCTTACATGCTTGAGGCCATACTTTCATGGCTATAAATACTGACTCGTTGGGAGATTGTTACGGATATCACTAATACGATTTACCTATTTCCCTAAATGAATTCCGTGTTTTATATCAAATTATCGAATTTCATTAACATTTTGATCACTGAAGGGTATGAACTTGCTTTGTTGTAGTTTGAGCATGCGCAAATCTAATTATATCTTGTTATTTTGTCGTCCCACGGCGCCTGACGCTGTTCTTGCAAAAACTCCCACATTGTAAATTGATGTTTTATAAATATGCCACATTTAGTTCAGGATAAAAGTCCTTTAGGTCATACATTTATTAAAAGCTTTCTTAAATTATCGATTGTAGAGATTGTTGAGTATATCTCAAACTACAAAGCTTCAAAGCGAGCACTCATCGATATAGAAGAAGTATTTTCGTGTACCGATAGGCTTGAGAGCTAAGAAAGGCATTGGCTACAGTCAACTCTCGCTATTACGGACACCCTCGGGACCGTAATTTATTGTCCGCAGTAGCGAGAGTCTGTAGTAACGAGAGTTACTTTCAGTCATTTCTCTGTATTTTTCGTCGGGGATTCAGTGTCCGCAATATCGAGGTGTCCGTTGTAGCGGGGTGTTTGTAAGGCAAGAGTTGACTTAARTGCGTATGAAACGTGGAAATTGAGCATGAAAAAACTGGGGAATTAACTAAGAGGAAATAGCTGCTTGTCACTCACCAGACATGTGATGTGAACGTTTTCTTAATTATCACAGAAATCTCAAACGCCAGCTATCGTGCTGGTGTGTAATCCCATTCAAAGATCTCCATAATTCCCCTTAAAAGCTTTCGTTTTTTGCAAGCGGTTCTGCGTTATCTAAATGTCGATATTCAATGAACTGTCAGTTGTATCCTGATAACCTGTTCCAGTAAACATGATCGATCCAATTCAAAATAAGTTATCGCATTAGTTACCTTGGTAAATCAGACTAGCTCCATATCACGCTTTCTAATTTTCCATAAAATCTTAATTTAGTCATTTGATTTTATTTGAAAATGAATCAAGTGGAAATGAGTCGGGTTCTTTAGAAATCTGGGAACTTGAAAAGCGTGACGGTATAGCTATGACGTCAGAGTTTTCTTGCCCAATCGTTCATGGCTGCTTTAAAGAATGAATCCTAACATAGATCTCTCGGTTTTGGCTTCATTTAGACTTTTTGTAACCCTACTCTATTTTCCCCACCTTTTAACGTAAAATAATCTGTCAGCTTTAATGATTTTAGTGTCCAAAACACTTCTCGAGCTAATGCACCATTAACGAGTTTGCTTCACGAAACTCTATTCTTAGAAAAGGAAATTAGCGGCGGAAAAAACSACATGACGTCACTTCCAGAGCTAAACGGTTCGATTGGTTAATTGCAACTTTCCTGAACAACGAACTGATTTCATCTTGAAATAGGAAGGAATTACAACATATAGAATTAACGTAGAGTATTGCTGTATTATTATCAAATTAATACGGAAAGAACAGTTTAACATTCTATATTTTCATCTCAATTCCGTCAAAGGATGACAGTTGCTACCAGTGACTTGTTGCAGCAACACGTTTATTTTCGTCAAAGCGCTTCGAGCTTATGATGTTCTCACAAAAAGACTATCCTTCGAAAATGTCCATATTCTGAATATCTTGTAAAATGGAAAAACAAGGTCACAGTGAATGCTTTGCATTCTCTATCGATGAATTTCGTAATTTTGATCGTAAAATCATGCTGGAAGTCTACTCGACTATGAAACTGGATTCCTTCAAATAAACAACCAAACCCCCATCCCACCCCCCATGATATTCAATATTATCTTAACTCCACCCCACTACGTGAGGCTTATTTTCATCTAAGTTATAGCCATATTCATTGGGTTTAACTGAAAAAGTCTTGATCGGTAAAAAAGTACATTGTTTCTATAGATTTGATTATCCTGACACTGATAGCAAATACTGAATTGATAAACAGRGAAACACAAAGTGCCGSGKTTTTTTGGTTGAAATACATCTTGTTGAACTTGTAAAAAAAATCTCTAAAAAGAGTTATTATTAACTTGATTTTTATATCGAAGACCGTGTAACGTACCTACCTTAATATTCTGAAGTATACATAGTATTTCCTTAACTCGCTCACTCGGAAAAGAATATTATAACATTCCACAAAGACTGGATCCACACAAGCCAATGTGATG